GCTCTGACGATGGAAGCGAGCGAGCTTTTGAAACATCAGCCAGAATACACTTCGGTCCCAGAAATCGTCTTTACTTTTTCTTCCTCTTCCGTGGATGATGTAAGGAATATATCGTAAACTGTTCACCTCCTTTAGGCAAACGCAACCATGTAGTACTACATCGGGAGTATTTACTCTTCTCTGTAACTGATCGCAGCAAGACCGTGGAACACAACATATGGTGCGGAAACTTTTCTCATATAGGGAAAGAAGTGCGCAAGTTAGACTGGAAGAAGGCATTCACCGGGTGTGTTTACGGGGATTGGCCGGCTTTTAAGGCCGTATTACACGAACTAATCACCGGTTTCTGCCTCATTTGGAAAACGAAAACCACAAATAGACCAAGTGGCTAACGAACACACTGAAAAGGGAGGTAAATCGCAAACGAAAGCTTTAGCGATCATATCTTAGAGAGAAGACCACCGAGTCGCAAAACAGGTACAAGGTGCAGAGAAATAGGGTTAAGGGTCTTGTACTTAAAACCCGACAAATCTTCGAGCGTGACGTAATAAACCGTGCAGTAGGAAATCCAAAGGTCTTCTACAACTACATTCAGTGATCCACTCGAACTAGAGACCCCATCCCTTTGTTAAAAACGGATGAAGGTCTCGAACTTTACGAGAACAAAGCAAAGACTCAACATCTATCCGGGTTCATTCAGTCGGTTTTTTACGAGGGAGGCCAAGCTAACCGTTACCAATTTTAGTACAGAAGAGATTCCGACCATTGACTCAGCTGAGCTCACGGGAGTTACTCTTCTGCAAGAACTTCTTAAGCTCCAAGACATGAAGTCGCCAGGTCCGGATGGCATACATATAAAGCTGTTGAAAGAGATAGCCGTGGAGTTGACAGAACCCCTGTGATTACTCTTCTGGGCTTCCCTAAATACAGGCTAACTGCCACGCGATTGGAAGACAGCATGGATCTTACCCGCACACAAAAGTGGGAGTTGGTCGTCCGCAAACAACTACAGGCCGATAAGCCTTTTTTTCATATGCTTTAAGATTATGGAGCCAATTGTCAAAATAGAGTTGATGCAATTCTTAGAGCGCAATCGACTCCTTTCTGACAAACAGCACGGATTTCGTAGAGGACGATCCTGCTTGACAAATTCGCTTTTCTGTCTTGAGCAATGGACCAGAGTACTCGATCAAGGAAATGCGGTGCACGCAGTCTTCGTAGGCTTCAAGAAGGCATTTGACACTGTGCTTTATCAACGTCTCCTATACAACATCGGACGTATAAGGGTAAGCGGCAACCTTTTACGGTGGGTCGAAAACTTTCTAACTGGTCGAACTCAGACCGTATGTCTTGATAAGCAGCGATCGGCGGAGGTGTTGATAGTGGGGTTCCGCATGGCTTCGTTCTGGGCTCTATCCTCTCCCTTATATATATCGACGACTGCATAAGCTGATTAGGCTGCGAAACCATAATGTCTGCCGACGATTTAAAACGCTAGAGGGTCATTCGCAGTGAAGATGATTAAGCAAATCTGCAGGCAAATTTGCATCGACTCTAGCACTGAGCAAAGGAGTGGCTCCTGCCATTCAATGTCGCTAAATGCAACATTATGAGCTTCGGAATTGCAAACTCTTCGTATTGGAGGGTGTACCACCTAAATCGCATGCCGTTGCAGGAGGTAGAGACACAGAGGGATCTAGGGGTGTGGATCACGCCTTCCCTAAAACCATCTCTCCACTGCTTGAAGGTGGCCAAATCCGCAATGTCCACCTTGTATCTCATTA